GAGGCCATTTGGGGGCACTTGCTTCGCCTTTCATCCTTTCATTTCCTACTAGTGACATCTAGTGGTACCCCTGGCATGAGTTTTGTTACCTACCACTGAAAACACCAACTTTTCCTCTGTGATCTTGCCCTTCAATGTCTGTAGCTTCAAATGTCCCTTCTCACCTTGGTGATCCCTGCTCCTCTGTTCTGAGCATCAGGATGTTTCTAGGCAGGCTTTTCTGGGACCAAGTTCTTCCTTTTAGAGAGGTTCAAAAACTGCCTTCAATCCTAAGCCAAAGTCTGTCTTATGAGCTAGTAAAAACACAAGTTTCAAATATGTCCACAAAATAGTATTTCCTATTTCTTAAAACCAAAAAGGGTGACAACATTGCCCTTCTTAGGCCATTGGGATTCAGATCAGATTCAGTGAGGGTGGTTTTAAATCTACCTATTTGCTTATGACTCCTAGTGAAAGTCTCCACAACATTCATTTGTTTTGACGACCTACCTGACATTCCTACCTGGATATTGTGGCAGAAACAGTGGTGTTCACCAAACATCCCATCTACTAGCCCACATTTCCCAGCCCCACCTACAGTTGGTTGAGGCCATGTTACTAGTTTTGGCCAATGGGCTGTGGGTTTCACTCCTAGACTGAAGCATAGGAGAGCTGGTATGAGACCTCTCCAGTCATCTCTTTTTCTGTCACAACAATTGACCTTCTGGATGGTGGAGCCTGCACTAACCTTGTTCCCTGAGTGACTGTGTGGAACAGACCACCCACCCCCTCCCTCAACAGCTTCCACCAAGCCATAGAAGACATGTAACTTAAGCGAGAATAAACTTTTGTTGTGTTAAGCCACTGAAATTTTAAGGTTTATGATTGCAACAGTATATTTAACTGAATGTCTCATGCATAGCTATCTCCAATTTTATGTATTCAAAACTGGAATAATTTTCTCCCATAAACCTATACTTCATTTGTCTTTTCCATCTCCGTAAGTGACATGTACATGCTTAAGGTGGAAACCTGGATGCCATACTTACATCTCCCTTTTCCTCTTCACTCTTCCTGTGCAGAAAAGACTTAACATAGCTGACCTGAGATTGTTATCCTTAAAAAGCTCTGCTTGCAAGGACGGCCCTTGGCTGGCATCTGGGAACTGGCTAGCAAAGAGTTTCCTACACTGATAAAAGACTTCCCCTAAATAACAGGGGTGACTGTACTGTTTGTGCAAACAATATGATTTATGTGACCACAACCTGCTTTGTTTCAGGGAGTCTGGCACTTTGGTACATGCCAGGCAGAAGTGCCTACATGACCACCCTTCAATAAAAACCTTAGGTGCTGAGTCTCTACCAGGCTTCCTTCGGTGGAAACATTGCACACGTGTTTTTGCATTTTATTGCTGGAGGAAGAGTAAGGTCTATGTGACCCCTCCTGAGAGGGCGAGAGGATAAGGGAGCCTTCACATGGATTCCTCCATATTCCACCTGTGTCCGTTTTCCATATGATCCAGCTGTGTAGCTTTACAACATCACTGTAATAATCTTAGCATCAGAAGAACTATATGATGAGTCCTGTGAGTCCCAGTGAACCCCCAAACATGATGTGGTCTTAGGGACCCCATGGTATCCCCCCATGTCTAATCCAGCACTGAGGCCTATCAATTCCACTTTCTAAAATGTATTTCAAATTACTCTGCTTCTTTACTTATATGTTGTCATCACTCTGGAAGGTGCCATCATCTTTTATTTGTGTTGAACTTTGAGAAGGCCAATAAATAACACCTTTCTTTCCTGCCTGAGTTTGGAACCAAACAGGAAGAGATCACAGGATGCGCTTTATTTAATAATAAAAATCTAGATTGGAGTGGCTTAAATGTGCAGCCAAATGGATTTGCTAACAGTCTCCTGAATAAAATGTGTGTATCCTAGCTGCTACCTTTAGAGCTGTCCTCTTGAGAGGGTGCACCAGGTTGTACCGTCTCTGCAGGCACACACGGATGAAGGAGACGGAAGAGGCTGAGCAGAGCACACACACACACACACACACACACACACACACACACACACACACAAATAATAATTTAAAAAAGGTGGGGGTGGGAGTAAAGATTGGAGATTTTAATAGGAAATTATAAGATTTCTTGCTCACTCCTGATTTCATCTTCCAGGTAGAACCCCAGGTCCTAGGCATTAAGCAAATGCTACACAAGCTGGCCATATGTGGAGATGGAGAAGGGAGTGTGGTCAGTGAACACCACGTAATCTGCACTGAGGCTCAAGCAAAAACCCTGGTATTAATACGAAGCCAGGCTTAGCAAATATGCACAGAGGTATGTGGGCCCAGCAAAGACGCAGCCTGGAGGGCCTTAGGTGATGTGGGCCTCATGGAGCGGCTGCTGCTTGTCCTTGACCACTGTTCAGAACATATTCATTCTACTACACTGGGTCGCAGCAGAGGTAGGGAGGCCACAAAGACTTTGACCGCAAAGACCTTGGGAAGCAGGCATAGCTGAGGCAAGGACTAAATTATAGGAAAGATGTCTTTTGGTACATTGGCCTTTCAGACAGTACTGGAGAAGTTAATTAAACAAGCTTTAGGTCCCCTCACATGCTTGGGCCCTTTCCAAGGTCCTGAAAGACCCTAGTAATGTATTCACATGGTCATCTTTCATGTCCTTTTCATATAATTTGAAAACACACAAAACTACAGAAAAGTAGTACAGAGAGCTCTATCCCCAAACAACCATTTGAGAGTTTGTTGCCAATCTGATGCCCTATCTGCCCCTAATGCTTTAGTGTGTATTTCCTGAGAATAAGGACATTTGTCTACATAACCACAATACAACCACCAAAATCAGGAAGTTAACACTGACATATTTCTACCACCTAGTCCTCAAATCCACTTCGGAATCAAGTTGCATTTCGTTTTCATGCCTCTTTAGCATCCCTGTCTGGAACAATCCCTGTCTTTCCTTGACATTCATCACATTGATATTTTTTAAGGTTGTAGGCCATTTTTGTTGAACGTTCATCAACTGAGGTTTGTCTGACAGTTCCTCATGATTACTTTCAGGTTGTGCATCTTTGGCAGGAACATCACAGAGATTGGATTCTGAGCCCTGCATGGCTGGCCCCCTGTTCCCTTCCCACTTGTCTCCAGCTGGCCTCACTACCCCACCACGTTGCCGTCTGTCCCGCTCAGGCTCTGTGATCTCCTGCTCTGCGCCACTGTTTGTGCCCTTCTCCCCCAGCCGGCATGGGTATCTACCCTGCTCTGTCCCACTCACTAGCTCTAAGACTGAA